TTGCCTGCTCCCAATACCGTGCTGCCTCATGAGTTAGTTAGTCTGGGAGCTGACATTGCCTGTGAAGACTGAAGAGAAGAAGGCAGCGAACACTTCAGCCTTTTCTGCATCCTCTTTCGCAAGGTTGCCTCCCCCACTCAGTAAAGGACCCACACTTTCCTTGATCCTCCTCTTGCTACTGACATACTTGTAGAAACCCTTGTTTTTACCCTTCATATCCCTTGCTAGCTGCAACTCCAGTTGCACTTTGGACTTCCTGATTTCATCCCAGCATGCCTGCGCAGTGCACTTATATCTTTCCCAGTTATTTGTCCAAATTTCCACTTCGTATGAGCTTCCTTTTTGTGATTTAGTTTACTGAAGAGTTCTCTGCTCAGCCAAGCTGGTCTTCTGCCATGTTTGCTAGTCTTCTTGCAAATCAAGATGGTTGGTTCCTGCACTCTCAGTAAGGCTTCTTTGAAGTACAACCAGATCTCTTGGACCCGTATTCCCCTCAGACTGTTTTCCCAGGGGATCGTGCCCATGAGTTCCCTGAGTGAGTTGAAGTCTGCTTTTTTGTAATCCAGGGCCCTTACTCTGTTTCTCTCCATCCTTCCTTTCCTCAGATCCTTTAAAGCAGGTGAACCCTTCCTTCACCCCTTTCCTTTGATGCTCAGAGGCACTTCCCCTTCCTTTGCCTCCCCTTTTCTGCCCCTTCCCTTCTCCTTCACTTTGCTTTCCACCTGCTGCAGGTTTTCCCACTGTCCCTGGGGTGGTAATACTCCAAAGCTGCTTCTGCCTGCCTCAGCCAGGCTACGAGGGGCTGTGCTCAACTGGAGATGGGGCAGCAGTGATAACACGGTGGCAGAACAGTTTTCCCCCTCCCTGCCTTGTCCCTTGGGAGCAGGCATATGTTGTGGGGGAGGGGCAGAACCCCGCCCCACATCCATCTTAGTTGCTGCAGTCTGGCCCCTGTCCTCAGCTGGGCCCAGCCTTTTTGCAGCTTGGCTGGGGCGGGCATAAGGGTTTCTGGAGCTTCCCTTGGGACACCAGGGAAAGCAGCAGTGTGGTAGGTGAGGGAGGGGCAGAAAGGATGGAGAGGAGACATGCCTCTGAGCATGAAGAGGAAGGGGAGTAGGATTTAAAAAGTTCCTGGAGGCTCATGTAGTGCTGGCAGGGAGAGGGTTGGCATTACAGGGGATGCAGACACCCTTGCAGTGAGGGTTCCTGCTCCTATGCCCTCCTTTGGGAAATCTTAGCTCCATCTCTGCTACTTTGGTCTTCAGTTTGCAGCATATCCATATGGTGGATGTAATTTGGTATTTGGATGTTTTGTGTGTTCATTAGACACTAATTTGAATGGCTAAACATGTACATTTACTGCAAATTGTTATTATTGCAATGTTTGAATCGTTATTTTTTTTTATTCCTAGGTTGTTGCACGTACTGAGAGAGATTCCCATATTGTTGCCTTTTCACATGAAATTGTCCCCTGTCCAGTGACAGTAGACATGACATTACCTCAAGTATTAGAGGAAATGTCTACAGTATGTAAAAACTTTTACTTCTCTTACACTGTGGTGGGAGTGGTGATGATGATAAATTGTTTCTTCATTTTTGAAAATCATGAAAATGACTTAGAGGTGCACTGATACATCGGTCTGTATTGTATTGGCACCGACAAAAGGAAATTTGACATTATCAGCAGTTGGCTTTTTTTTGGCTGATGTGACTGACAATGTCACGGATAAATGCTGCATGTATGCATATAGCCTCAGCATGCACGTGGCCAGGAGTGCAGCCTGCCAGTCTGGAGAGCAGTATCTGGCTGGTAAATTGCGGGGAAAGGGTGTGGGGGGCAGATTGAGCCCCCCCCACAGCAAGGGAGGGAGTGAGGTTGGGGCAGACACTGCTCAGCTGGAGTGGGATGGGGCACAGGACCAAGTCGGTGGCTTCTCCGGGAGGTGGCTCCTGCCGCTGCCCACTTCCCCGGGGGCATGTCCGCACAGGGAGTACAGTGTGAATTAAAATGAGTAGTAATCTTATCAGGGGATAAGCAACAATGCCACATTTGTTAGAACATAAAACATGCATCATGAAAAGAATAATAAAAAAAGCAGTAAGGTTATTTGCTTCACTAATTCCCATACATACTCATTCGTTCATTCATACAAAAAACCAAACACAAGCACAGATAGTTAGACAGTCCTGCAAAAGTTAAGGTGTTACCAAGTAGTTCCAGAGATGCTCAGGTTAGTCTGGTGGCCAGCCGGACTGGTCACGAGGAATGAAGTCAAGTCTTGTTGGATGCGTCCAACGCTCCTTCTTGCAGGGGGACAGATCCAAAGTCTTTTCTTTGTGTTCATTCTTCATAGCGATAGCTGTCCATAAACGCCTATGGATTCCACTGAGTCAGACGCGAAGGTCATGTTCCTTGTTCTGTTGACAGGCTAGGATTGGTAGGACGTGATCTTCCAGATTTGCAGTTTGCAATCTTCAGCGGGGTCATTGCTTGTAGTCTTCAGCCCTTGGGGTGAAGGCATGATTTAGTATTTGGTAATCCTTAACTGCTGACTCTACATCACTGCAACCTTTAACTGTTAAACCACAGAAGGCTATTTTCACCTGCTGCAAGAGGACTGTCTTCCTTCACATTGTCACATACATCATCCATTCTTTCATTAACTCTTGTCAAACATGCCAAACACACCACAGACCTTACATAAGCATTTTTCTTATACCTAATTTAAGTTTTAAAATCATGAGACCAATAAGTCAAATATATTTATGCTAAGCAATAGGACATCTAAAATAGATGGTTAATTCCAGAACAGTAATGACTGATTAAAATATTATTGGAAGTAAATTATAACAAGATTAACTTGATCTTAATGGCTAAATAATTCATTATAAAAGATAGCAATATAAGCAATTAAAGCAATTATAGCTACTGCAATATAACAACATGCCCCCCCGGATCTGTGTGGGGTGAGGGTGGGCTGCCTGCTATGTACTTGGGACTGGGGCTCCTCCTGTCTCTCCCCAACGGTTGTTTTCGGGGCAGGGTGGGCGGTAGTGGTGCTGGGAGGTCAGGGTACGGCAAATTTTGGGGTGGCTTTAGCCCAACCCTGTCGCCCCCCTCTGAACACTGTAGCCATTGCCCACCCCGCTTGGCCCAAGCACAGCCACCGGAAAGAGGCTGGAGTAGCATAGGCCCCAAGCCAACATTGGGCATCCTGCCTTTGCCCTGTGCACAGATCTGAGGGGGGCATGTGCCCCCCTTGCATTCCCCTGGGATGTGTGCAGCAGCCAAAGCCACGCCCCATGTCAAGCTGCCATCTTCATCCCATGCTGTGCCCTGCCCCATCCTGGCTGTGCCGTGCCTGCTCCTGACTCAGCCCTGGCTTCACCCCTCCACCGCAGCAGCCTCGATCTGGGCCCCCTCTTCCCATCCCCCTTTCCCACAACAGGCTTACCAGCCAAACGGTGCTTTCTATGCTCCTGGGCTGCATATTGGCAGTTGGATAAGAATCAGTTATTTCCATAATTGTAATATTGACTTCAATTTATGGGGGTTTTTTTATAGATGGGAACCTACCAGATTCACAGCAGAAATGGAGTGTGCGGCAGCTCCTTTAATCTTTTACGTTTCCCCCATGTGACCCTTTTCTTCCCCCTTCCCCTCCACCATTGATTGGCACAGGGGCCTCACTGCACCCTCTAAATGGGCAGGGAAGCAAAAACCATGATTTTAAATATGGTGTGGTTTTTGCCTCCCTGCTAGTCAGCAACAAGCATTGGGGCACCTCCAGCAATCAGCGGTGTGAGGCAAAAACAGCGCCATATTCAAAACCACAGTTTTTGCTTCCCCGCCGATCAGGAGCTAGCTGCAAGCACACCCCTTCCACCAGTCAGCAGTGGAGGGGCACACAGGGAAGCCTGCAAGATTAAAACAGGTGCCACGCACCCTACTTTTGCCATGAATTTGGTAGGTCTCTATTTATAGAATATTATTTCCCCCCGGTGACCCTTCTTTGGTATATCTCACTTAGTTTATTTTTACAACATGTCCAGTAAATTAGATCATTTTTTCCATGTCACTTTGCTCAAAATAAATTTGAGACGAGTAGCTTAAAAATAATGGATGGAAGTGAGGTAAAATGGATGGAGAAGATGCAGGATACTTTTGCATATAACATTACTTGGAACATAATATTTTATTTCTTCTAAGCAATATATAAACAATTATCTTAGTATATTCAGTTCTTTATAATTGCAGCACTGTCCTAAGTCTTATTTTTTCAGCGCTGCTAAATTGTACTTTATAACATATATGCTATACATTTTATTAGGCTGTGGGAAGTTAGCACCTCCTAAGTTCCACCTAATTCAGCGAAAGGACCTCACTCACTGCAGTGGAGTTATTGGCTTCCTAATAAGTAGTCAAATTCTAAACCTCAGTCCTGCAGTGTAATTTGCACAAATAGACCAGAGCTTCGTTAACATCAGTGACGTGCATTTTGCATTGCAGGGTAGAACCTATTTATGTTGTTGTTAATCTTTGGGAAGAGAGTTTCACGGACTGTTTTAGTCATGAGAGGTTGTGTTGGTGTTTTTTAATTGTTCTTGCTATATTAACTTATTGCTTATTATTTTACAATACTTTGTTTCTGTGCTCACTTCCAATTTTGTTTTTTGTCACTAAAGGAAAAAAAAAACCTTTTAAGCTCAGTTTATCAAGTGTTACATATTGTTTAACATATTTATTTCTATAACTGTGCAGTTAATGTCAGTAGAAAACTGGTCCAATGGGTACCTTTTGTAAGCAGAGATTGGGAGGTTTCTTAAGTTTTGTTTTTCTGTTTTTAGATTACTTTGACATTTCCAGAATTTTACAGTGAAGTTCATAATATTTGTATGTATTTTTAGATTGAGATGGGTGCCACTGATTGTGCTCTCCCAATGATATGGGCTGAAAAGACTAACACAGCTGCTGATGTCTTCATTGTTTTTACTGATAATGAGACATACTTTGGAGAGATTCACCCTGCAGTTGCTTTGAGGAAATACAGAGAGGTAAATATTCTTTTGTAAAATGATACTGAGCCAATAGTTAATGAAAATAGTGTTCAGAGGATTCTTTTAAAGAGAGGAATAGTTGTGGTTTTATGAAATAAAATGTATTAGGCTTTATTTTTCTGAAAAAGTATTAGAATCTCTATATATTGAGGCAGAAATTAACAGCATTACTTACAAATAAACATTTTAAAAAAGCAATAAGGACTAGAATTACTTGCACGTGATTTTTCCATCATCAATATTGATGGCCTGATACTAATGTCCTGCATTTAAGTTTTTGTAATGATAGTTAATGTATCTGGTATTCAGTGAATTTATAAACTCCTGCTGCTACATGCTGAGAGTTCCTTTTTGCAGTGGGGGTTCTCTTCAAGCAAAACAAGTGAAATTCCAGTTTTCCTCCCTGCTCTGCAGTGGAACTGAATGCGTTAGCAAAGCACAGAGCAATATACAAATAGCCACCTGAGTGAAATTATGGGAGCCTTCAAGGAAAGTAGTGCCACAGGAATGCAAATCTCTTGAAGTCGGAGTTTATTTTCTTTCTAGAAGGGAGGCTACTGAAGTTATGAGCTCTGTATGCCACTAGTGCTCAGCAATTCTGCTGATCTCATGAGCTCTGACAGTTTTCTCCTCCTGATCCTACCTGAAGTGACATTTCACTTGAACTTAATTGAAATTGAAGAGTAACTTTTGTAAATATATTCCCATGCAACAAAACTTTATTCAAATTCTGAACATAATCTTTTGATATTCCAAATGATATACCTGTATACCTTTGTCATTTAACACCTTGTGCTTTTATGCAACTGTTACAGACAGATAAGGGTGTAAAAATGTTTTACAAACACAAATAAATTAAGAGTTACTCCTCTCCATATCCTTGTTAAGTAACCATCGCTCTCTCTTATGCAGGAGTGTGAAACTCAGATGGGTATCTTGAACAACCTGCGCAAGCTAATTTAGGAAGCTGATGGGAAAGGACAAATTCGTGGCCGAGAATTCTTTTTTTAGACATAAATTTGTTCTTACCGACTTGATAGATGATATGATGGTCATGACTGATAATGATAGACCCGTAAACATTTACATTTCGTTTAGGCTGTATTTTTTTTCTATATTACATGGCCTGCTTAGAAGTACATTTATAAGATTTATACCTATCTATATGTCCTCTGTGGTATTTAAAGGCAGCATACTGCAGTTACCTCAGTTTTATTGATATCAGACTGAGGTCTGGTTTAAAAAAATACCAAGGGCCAGATTTTGAAGTCTTTGCTTGTGGAATCTGTGGCTTTCATCAGTGTGCTTTGTCAGGCAGAGTTTTGCTGGTGTAAGGACAACATAATTTATTTCCAGATAATTATTAATTTGCTGTATAGGTATACATTCTCAAAGTGTTTTATTTGCTTTCCTTTCTGCCTGTAGAAGATGAGCATTCCAGCAAAACTGATCGTTTGTGGAATGACATCAAATGGTTTTACCATCGCAGATCCAGATGATAGAGGCATGTTGGACATGTGTGGTTTTGATGCAGGAGCTCTTGAAGTTATTCGAAACTTCACCTTAGATTTGATATAATTCCTGGATACCTACTATTACAAGTGGGTCCATTGCTGGCAATAGACTTCGCCCTGGGAACTACCAGCCAAATGTACTGTACAAGAAGATGGTACATGTTTCACGTATAAGAAAGATGTTGCCTTCTAAAACAGAAATCAAAAAAAGCATACAAGAATTTTCTTTTTTTCTCTTGCATACAGGTTAAAAATAAGTACGCAAAGCCTGCTAAGACTAGCTACTGGGGTACATAGTATATGATTTAATTACTTTCTAGTTTGCCAATACTAAGATGTTTTTCTGTCCTTGTAGACTATTTTTGTTTGTAAGAATAAATTGGTGAGACACTGGTATTGGTGGGTTCAAGGAGGAAGGAAAAGTAGTCTGTTTTGATGGCTCTTGTGAAGATGTGTGTTTTAATGAGGGTTTTTTCATGTTTGTACTTGAAAAAATTAAGATACAACATCTCTGTTGAATTCTGCAAAAGAAATATTTTCAGAGCACATTTGACCATGTTACTGTGATTGAGTAGAAAAATATTTGTCAAATTTTATATGGACAAAGTAAAAGTGACAATTTTGATTTATCTTTTCTAAATAGATTGTGATTTTGATCTTCTAGGATGAAATCTGTAACTTTCTGGTAAATTGAAAGGTAGTGCTATGGACTGCAAAGTTATTTAACACTTGTAAAATTGGTATGCTTTGCAGGAAATAGTACAAACCCTTTGTAGTAGAGAAAAGTTCCCTGAAGTTGTTTAGGTTGCTCATCCGATGTGAATGTGCTGAAGTTTCAGCAGTTTTTCAGTGATGAAGATGGACAGAGACCCTGGAATTAGCATTACCCTGAAGTGTGACCATAACAATCGAAAAGAACTTCATTGCATGTTTTTCTTCCTCTTCCCCCCCCCACACCCCCATGTGTTGATGCTACAGAAATAATCGTCTTGAATAGTGCTTTGCATTATTTAAGTGACCTTTTTTTCTCTAATATTTACTGATTAAATCAACTCAGTCTAACTTTTTAAAATGGTTTCAATTCTTATAGTGACCGATTCTGAGACTTCTGCATTATATAGCTACCTTGTTCACAGTTCTAGTCTTACTTGTTTAGAAATTTGATTGCCAATTGGATTTTTAAACTTCCTTGTGATAAGAAACATGTAAGGGAGAAAATAACTAAGAATGTCCCAAGTCTGTCTTAGAGGAGGAATTAATAATGTGTGCATTAATGTAATAAAATGGTCTTTTTGATGTCACATGCTAAGATACATAGGGGTTTTAGTCATACTTTTACATTTTCCCCCAAATTGTGTGATCATGTTTTCTACTAAGGGTGATTGTTTTAAAAGGTGAATTTGTATTTAATCTGAAAATGATTGCAGGTTATAAAAATAATTTAATTATAATAAATACTACATCAAACTTTGTTGCTGTGCTACAAAACATGCTCTTAAATGTAAAACACGTTGCAATTTAAATAGTAAATTAAATTCATGTTGCTTAACTCATTTTCATATGTTTAAAGTATAAAGAAATCTGGGTGAAAAATAGTGTTTTGCAGGGTGAACTATCTTCCATCTTAAGACATTATTTAACATTTATACCTACATGCTCCATGCGTAGTGCCTCAGTTTGTTAGATGTCACTGAAGACATCATACCACCTAGTAAATTCCTCGGCACAGGATAAATCGGGATGGTGAGGAAACCCGCTGTGGCATTAATTTGTACAGGCCCGTTGCATGAGCTGTTTTTAGAATAATAGTATTTTGAAAAATTGCCAGTAGAAACAGTGGCTTTCCATAAAAGTGAATGAGTTTTTGTAGATTATCAATAAGTAATGCCATAGGCATGGGATACAATTTATAGACTGCATGACCACTGGTCATTAGATTACATGCAAGCCCCCCCTCTCCCCCCCCCCAGGAAAAAAAAAGCTAACAAAAGAAACGCCCTCCGTTACTTGCAATTTCAAAAGGTAGCTCCACCAATTCAGTTTTTGTTTTATACTGATAGTTTTGTAAAACATACAATAATATGCTTTGTAATTATACATGATAGTTAAACATGCAATAGTTATTTACTGCTGAGCTAGAAATACTGAAGAAAACTCTGAACTAATAGTTTGTCTTTCAAGTTCAGTTTCTTGTTTTGAGGAGCCTTTGTGAACCTATGAATTAATTTCTTGGTAGAAATATTAAATAGAAATTAACAAGCTGTGTACATAGAAGGTCAATAGTTGAAGTAACATTTCAGTGCAGTTCTTTTGCAAACCTGTGATAACTAAAAAGATTTGACTGAACTAATGGCTTTGGTTACAGATGAAGGGTGAAGAATTAACTGATTCGGAATATTTGAAAGTAGTCCAATTTTGAAATACAAACCCTTGGATAAGACACGCAGTGTCAAGATAAATTTCCTACCAACTGTACTGAAAATTTAAGTACACTATGACTATTATATTTTGGAGAGAGATGTACTACATTCCAGGTCACAGTAATGCAAAACACGATGACTAGACGGAGTGAATAATACGATCCTAAGCTTGTTTTCTCTATTTAAAAGATACAAATATAATACATTGCTTGATTTTTTACGTGGTGTTGATTGTTGTGACATGAAACAAACTGCTACAAATAGGAGCAGATTTCTCCCTATATCCTACTTCTGGAAAAAGAGCAAGGGTGAAGAGGTTTGTTGCTTCCTTCCATGGAAATGGTAAGGTTCTGTATAGAAACACACACCTTTTGGAACCATTTAGACACGGGCTGCATACAGGCATGAAAAATGAAACAAAACTAAACTGCGGCTTTACTTTACTTTAAAGTGCAGCACATGCCCAGAAGAGGCATTGCGTTTGTTAGACCTGGCTTACCCAATGTCTGTATAGATCGGGTGCTTCAGCAGGGCCTTTTGGCACTTTTCTCTAAGAGCTGATTGAATCAGCTTTTACATAAAAACGCCAAAAAGCCCCACTGAAGCACCCAATCTATACACACGCTGCGGAGTAGGGTCAAACAAATACACTTCCTCTTCTGGTAATGCACTTTTTAATTTTTCATGTCTGTCAGTGCCCTGGATGAAGCAGGTTCAAGTAGGAACAGTTTTGCTACATTTGTATCATTCCCTGTTCATACAAGTGGAAGAATTAGAATATAGCAGCTGCTGCCTCTGAAAGGGCTGCAGGTCTGTACCCTTGCCAGTCATCCTCTGTTTCCCACCCGCTTCTTCCCCCCACCCAGCAGATTGGTTGAGATCCACAGACACCATGCCTCTGGTAGGAGCTGGGAAACAATGCAGAGAGGCTGGTGTTAGCTGAACTCCCCTCCCTCCCCCACTCTCACCCCAACGTTTCTGTAGTAAAAGAGGGAAAACTGAAGCAAATGCTGGCAGCGTGTGTACTTAGTTCCTTCCCTCTTCCATTGTTTCGGACCCCCAAAACTGGGGGCATAGGAGAATGAAGCTACATGTTCCTAGGATCACTACTTTTCATTTTGTTGGCAAGTTTGCTTTTAGGGGACAATATAGCCTATGGAACAAAACAAGATTTCTATTGTTACCTTCCTCAGTAATATGTCCAGGTACCTAAGAATTTATATTCTGCAGAATGAATAGATCCAGGTAATTTGCACAGTGGGGTGTGGGTGTAATAAATGTAGTGGTTAAAATATAAAAAATGTAAATAAAATATGTGAGCTAAATGCACAATTAGAATAATATTATTTAAGAGAAAACTACTGAATTGTCTTTTCACCAAAGAGCTTAATACCGTATCATTTTTGGCATGGTGGAACATTTTGTTTGTTTGCCTCAAGGCAGAACAAAGTGGAGATGTATAACAACGCAGTGAGATACATAAGAGTAAGAGGTAAAAAAGAGCTAGTTGAAGTTAAGGTCAGGGTTATTTGAGGGGCAAGGACGGTGTTCCCTGTCCAAAGCCAAAATATCTTGATGTTTGCAGTAGGCCAAATGCATTGGTTTGATTTCCTGATGCTGATTGAATGATATTTTTCAGTTGTTCTCAGTCTCCACTGGCTAGTCCTAGATTCATTAGTGCATCACTGTTTTACAAAGGATATCACCGCAAAAGTCTTGTCTTGAGAGGGTAAAAGAAGAAAGAAGCATGTTAAGCTGGTAAAATATGAAGAGCCACTGGGTGACATAAGCTAGTCCTTTCTCAAGGAAGCAATAAAATATTCTCTTGATTTTAAGGATGGAGAAAAGAACCTTATCTATGGATCCATTACTATTTTGAAGCATTTAAAACTTGTGGAAATAATCATGTATAAAATCCCCTGGGTAGTTCTTAAAGAATTTAGGGATTAAAAGACCCACAACATTATTTTCTAACAGCATTTCAGTTCCCTTTGTTTCATTTGTAAATGGATTAAAGTAACAGCTTGATCAAAAATTGAGAATTTGTGCAAGGAAGGCTTGAAGCTTTAGCAGAAAGAATTTGAGGTCCATAAATACGTAACAAAATATAAGCAATATTGCTGGTTACCCAAGCTCATGAGAAGAAATTAACCATCTGAAAACAACTATTTATGGATGTCATGAGGGCAGTCTGATAAATGTTCAGTAATACTAATAGGCCCCTTGGTGTCTAAAACAGCTCATAAGTCCAGGCTGTAGTTATAAACACATGAATGTTAAGCCTATCAACTGGTGTGGTCTTAAAAATGCTGTACCATACAAACCATATACTAGTGTTGATTTAAAATATGCGCACACTTTTTTTGGTCAGGTTTTAGTCTCAATGGCAGCTGCTTTGACTACACTAGGTAAGGTAGGTATGGAGATGGCTCATCCCAGGATCCAGTTCCCTGTTCTTTCTGTTCTCTTCCAATTTCTCTCTCTGCCCTTCCTTTCTTCCACTATATTGTTTGCTTCTCTTTCTTAGCTCCCATTGCTGGTGTGATCTCTAATCTTTATTCCCATAAAACTTCTTTGCACTGTCCATCTCTTGCTTCTGTTTTCATTCTAATTAACAAATTCTTAACCAGGCTGTTTTGCTTGATAATAATTGGAACCAGACCACTCCTATTAAGGCAATGTTTTGCATTAAACATTTGTAAATATTTCTCCACTCTTTCTATACGAAAAGAAGTTCTCTTCGTGACCACTGGACCAATAATATAACATTTTTAAAACAGATAGTTGCACATAAGCTAAAACAAACACAGATACAAATTATGCTGCCTAGGTATTCCAAACAAGGAAAAAAACCCAAATGTTTCTCAAAATTAAATTTAACATTTACCTGCATGCAGGTACCAGGCTTTTGTTAGAAAGTTTTTTTTAACATTGGCTTGTGCAAAAATGTCTGTTTGGTAGATAGGTTGAGTTTGTATAGTGTTTTATAGTCTTTTTGTTGTTTTGTATAAAGTGTATTGAGTTGTTATTTGCATAATTAAATGAATCATCTGTCTAGGTAGTCAACTTTTGGTTTCTGGTTAATGGAATTATTTTAGACATAAAACAGGAATAATTTGAGCAAAGATGATGCTTTTTAAATCTGTCAAATGTTCTTTAATTGATTTAATGCTTTAGTATTTATACAGGATTATGCAAACTATTTTCAAGGAATTTATATAGAAAGATGTGCAAAAAAATGCATTGTTTAAATTGATTAATTGTTGTAGCAGGTAGATGTTTTCATTGCATAGCAAATTTCAGCAGATCTAGGACTTTTAAATACATGTGTATAGATGAGTGTTTTTTTGGCTGAGATTATAAACTATTTCTCCTTTGGATGTTTCTGGATCCTGAAGTTGTTTAAATGTGTATCTATATATGAGAATAAGTGCAAACTCCTAACAAGTAAGACTTTAAAATGCTTCATTAACATATAATGAACGGATATAGCTACTTTTGTAATAAATGTTATCAACTTCCTAATCATAAATGAGCATAACATGTAACAACTGAAAATCTTAGTCTATTACATTCTTATTTTAAAAACATGGTTCTGCTTTGAAAAATAAGTCTATATATAAAAATATCACTTTCCTAAACAGCAAGCTTGTCTGAACTTCTCAGTATTCTGTCTTCTTACTTTAAAAGCCTGTTTCCAGCTTCTTGCACATTCTAGTAATGAACATTTTAGAATTTGAGCTGGGGGGGGAGAGAGAATACAGTCAAACATCAAGAATATTTAAGTCTGTTCCTCTGAAATTCATATTAATAAGAATATGAGTTTAAAATTTAGATCACAAATTGAATTTGAATCACTAACAGAACAATGCTCATGCCAATTCAAACTGAATGATTCTGATTTGAAAGCACTGGTTTAAAAAAAAAAAAAAAAAGCCACACATAACCCTATAGCACTGCTTACAGAATCACTTTTTTTAGAAAAGAACCACACCATATATGCCATATCATGTTTAGAATATATGAACATAACTTGGCTGTTATGCCATCTAAAAATATGGGCGCTTTTTGCTGCTGTTACTTTCTATAGACAAAAATTATATGAGAAAAGATCTTTGAAAGAAAAAGCCTTATTCTGGTAATAAGGACATAATTAACCCTTCAAATGGCTTAACAAAAGTCTTTCTTTGGTAAATGGGTGCTTACTGGTATCTCTAGTGTGTTTCTGAACTATTAATGGTGTTTGCCTTAAGCAACAATGCCCTGCTAACCTTGGGAGTATAGAACTGAAGGAGTTTTGGGGGAGGCTTGCGGTGTTTATTTTTATCTTTTTATAGGGAACAAAATGAAAGGTGGGGTCTTTAAAAACTCCTTTGCAAACTAGCTTTTTTTTTGCATTCTACAAAGATATACTAGCCTTCATTGCTAGTCTTCTGGGGAAAAATAGAGAAATTTAAACAAACAAACAAAGAATAAAAATCAAGCATAGATTTATTTAGTACTGGAGTTAGTGTGAGAGGGATACATTTGTGTGTGCTGAACTGGATGAATGCGTCTGTAAACAACACTGAACGCAGTGAAGAACTTAGCAAAAATGTAGTAAACTGCAATAATTTTTAAATAAGTGAGGTCAATATGTTAAATCTTTACATGTGTTTAAAGATGCATTGTGCTTTCGAGAAACTGAGGGACTCATGGAGGGGAGGGAGGATGGTTTATCAAACAAAAATTACTGCAAGCTAAGCAACTCAGGCTCATTTCTTCTTTTTTTTTTCATTTTCAAATTGAAATTGTGAGCATAAATGTGCAGGTATTAAAATACAAATACAAAGGAGTTATTTGATAATCCTATTGTTTTACGATCTGAAGAGAAATTTGTTAGGTTGGAATTGTTTCCACTGGACTTGTGGCATCTAGAACAGTGGGCCACGGCCTTGACTAAGATCATTGGGCACTTCTTTACTACAAACAATAAGTACACCATCAGGGAAAGGCTTTTTATTCTAAATAGTGCACCTTTAACCACTTAATGATCCCTTGTGGGGAAGAAAGGGATATACCTTCCTGTTTGCATGTGAACTTTCCTGAAATACAGGGTCTCGGCGTTACCAAAACCCTGACCATAGATATACGTTATATTGAAATTATTGTTTTTTAAACATTTCCCTGCAAGGGAAAGAATGAGTGAATTGCATTATGACTGTAGACCTTGAATGAATATTAAATAAACTCTATGCATATCACACACTTTTGTTTGCTTTTTAACAGTTTCATAACGGTGTTTCATATTACACAAATCTCTAACTGTATTTTTGTGCAAGAAAACAATTTTGTTCCTAGACTAGCCTTTTATGTACCTAGAAAAAGGTGTATAGTTGTTTTCTAGGCCAAAGCTAGAAAACAGATGAGAGCCACAGAAATGCAACACTTGTCCCTTCAGATTGTCCTGTAGAGCAAAAGAGTGTGTCTTCCATTTTTTAATTCCTTTTATGTGAATCCTGAAAAGAAGGCAGTGGTGAAGAGGATTTAGAGATAATGGGGATCCTGGCTTTCTGTTTAAACACACACTTTCTGATTTTAAAACCCCCAAAATATGCAAATAAAACAAAACACCACTAATATATAAACATAAACAAAGGGTTTAAAGCCACTTGGCAGCCTTCCAGTACCTCAGTCACTATAATAAAATAACTTCTAAGTACCTATACGTTTTGGTAGTTGATTTTGGGTTTTTTATCAAGGAAAATCAGAGCTCCCCTGCACACTTTGTTTATCAGGACACAGGTCCAGGTCCCTCACTCCACGCCCTGCCAGAGTGGGCTCCCAGCTACCAGAGCTACAGGGCGAGGGACCTGGGTCCGCAGTACCCAAGCCCCGGCTGCCACCTGTAGGAGGCAGTGGCTGCTGCAGCAAAGCAGAACCTGGCTTGCTCTCCTCCACTGGTGGCACAGCTGGAGCACAGCCCACAGTGGGGGGATGTTGGGGCAGGTGTAGGTGGCCGGCTGTGGCCTCGGGCTCTCTGCCCTGCTTCCCTCCCCCCTAGACCTCTGTGACCTAGCAGGCAGGACCCAGCTCTGCAGGACATTGCAGGGCCAGGCAGGGAAGCTCAGTGCCCCTGCTGTAAGCCCTGCACCACCATGGCAAGGCGCCCCCTGCCCACCTGGCAAGAGTGAGGGATACAACTCCACACTGTTCACACTGCTGCTGCTATGCAGGCAGGGAGTACTTCACCATACCAGCGCGGGGCTTGCAATGGCAAAGAGCTTCCCTGCCCTGCTCTGCCTTGCCACCCTGGGTCCCACCTACCGGGCTGTGGAGGCTCTAGGGGGAAGGCATCAGGGCATGGAGCCCAAGCCCACAGTGGGCAATCCACCCTGCCCTGAGCACAAATCCAGGGGACACTTGCCCCCTGCCCCCATAGCACATACAGTGGCAGGGGGGGGGGGGGGAGCCAGCCGCAGCCCCACCCCTGTGGATGAGATAAGCTGCTCCTGGCTCCATCTCACTCCTGACCTTTGCCGTGTGGCCATGCTTTCTGGCCGCAGGATCCGAGTCCCACACGCTGGGCTGAGCAGCAGCCCCAGCCCTGCCCAACTCCCTCCTTATAGGGGCTTCAACTTCCACCCCTCCCTCCACGCCCCCACCAGACTTACCTGCAGGAGCTGCTTTCTAGGCTGTCTGGTGGCCCCTGCCTAACTGCCACTGGTGATGTATAGAGTGTGCAGTGGGGTGCACGTGCATGCCCTGAGAGCACTGGTTCACCCCCTGACATCCTGCGCACCCTGCTTAGGCGATGGGTAGAGGGGGCAGGCTGGAGCACCAGTGCCCCCCTGCCTCCCGCAAGCACCAGCCAGGGAGTGGGGGCACCAGGAGAAGTGCCCCTGACACTTTTGGGTGTCCTGTTCGTGCTTCCCCTTCAGTGCGATTGGCCGCGGGGGGGGGGCACTCACCCCAGGCTGTCCAATCGGCAGTGGGGGGGTCAGACCCCCCCTATCATTGAGGGGAGCATGTGCCCCCTGCCCTGACTCAGGAGGCACCAATCGCCCATGCTAACTGCTCTTCTCTTGCTCCCTCCAGCCCCTTGCAAGCTAGAACTTTGCAAAGGGAGCTTTTTCCAAAAGTGAAAAATCTGTATGCTTCTCCTTTAAAATGGAAACAAAATCCATGTTTTTCTTGGTAAAAAGGGAAAATCTTCTTTTTTTATGGGAAGCAGAAAACCTGGATCCCTGGAGATGAGGGAGGGAGATACGTCTTTGTCTTTGCCCAAGACTTAACCAACATAACAAATGAAGGGAGCAGCCCCATGGTGCACATCCACTATAAAAACAAGACCTCTCTGTAGTACAGAGAAATTCGCGTTGTTTTGTTTTGTTTTATTTTCTTTTATTGGGGGGGGGAGGGTGGAGAAAATGGGTTGCCTATTAGGATGTTACGAGTTATGCTAGTAGGGAGGGAAAAACTGCAGAAAGACCTGGATAGGTTGCAAGGGTGGGCTAACAAAAACAGGATGCGTTTCAATATGGACAAGTGCAGGGTGCTGCACTTGGGCAGTAGTAACTGGCAGCACACTTATAAGATGGGAAACTCCCTTCTTGAGAGCACGGAGGCAGAAAGGGATCTTGGAATCATCATTGACTCCAAGATGAACATGGGCCAACAATGCAAGGTCACAGTTGGCAGGGCTAACAGGTGCATCTCAAGTAGGGCCAAGGATCCTCCCCCTCTACGTGACACTGGTCAGGCCACAGCTGGAGTACTGTGTCCAGTTCTGGGCACTCCACTTCAAGAGGGATGTGGACAACATTGAGAGGGTCCAGAGGAGGGCCACCCACATGACCCGGGGACAGCAGGGCAGACCCTACAATGAGAGGCTACGGGACCTGAACCTGTTCAGCCTTCACAAGAGAAGGCTGATTGGGGACCTTGTGACCGTCTATAAACTCACTAGGGGGGACCAGAAGGGTTTGGGGGAGGCCTTGTTTCCCCTAGTACCCACCAGGATAACAAGGAATAACGGCCACAAGTTGTTGGAGAGTAGGTTTAGATTAGACATCTGTAAGAACTACGTCACAGTTAGGGGGGCTAGGATCTGGAACCAACTTCCAAGGGAAGTGGTGCTGGCTCCTACCCTGGGGGTCTTTAAGAAGCGGCTCGATGCCTACCTGGCTGGGGTCACTTGAGCCCAGTTTCCCTCCTGCCCAGGCAGGGGGTCAGACTTGAAGATCTACAAGGTCCCTTCCGACCCTACTTCTATGATTCTATGATGCCTTGAAGTTTAAGTCTTCCTCCCACCTCCACCTGAGGATTATACATACAGATTTATGAAGTGTATTAGAGATGGAAGACCCTTGTGGGGAACCCTCGCTAGATTTAAAGGAGCATCTGGCAGTTATCTAAACCTCTACTATTTAAAAATACTTTAGAAAAAACTTATAATTGGAGCAGCCAAGATGCAGTGTCACTATTTTGAAGATACAGTTTAATCCAGTAAAACAGTATCATGTGACATGGCTGCCCAGGATAGCAAGAGACTTAAGTGATGGAGGAGGTCCATTCCAGTCCTGTTCTATGTACTCCACATCTTATCATTTGCCAGAATATACACAGAATAGTGTAACAAGCCCCATACTGTATAACTGTTTTTCAGCAAATAACATTCTAGCTACCATGCTAATGGGAGATCCTGTAATACTACCTTCATTCTTTGCAGACAATATGAAGAATGGTCTGCTGCTTTAGAGAGAGAAAAAAAGGTGAAATTAATATCAGTAATTCAGGTTACAATTTCTTTAAGACTGTTATAACTAGCAATGTTTTCTTTTAAAAGATAACTACAAACCAGAGAGCTAAGTGGTTAATTTTAAAGAAACGCAGATGTTTAGATGTATGAAAGCTTCATAAGGCTTGTAAACTACATTAGTTTAACTCCCATAGAAAGGCCAGTATCTTATTTTGGCTGATATGCTAGAAATCTGTAACACAAAATAATTTGCTTCACATGCACATTAGAAAGTGCAGTGAATGCTCTTGACATCCCCTTAACTTTCGTAACTTGACTGTCCTATGGAGGAGATCTGAGGCTCTCTCCCCCTAGTGTACTGATTTCTTTGAAATCCTTCAACAGAATGGAATATTTAGGAGCCAGTAGTCTCTCCTACTCTAAGTGGCTTGCCTTTGTAAGTATTTAGGCACAAGCATGTGAAATGTTAGTTCTTGTCTGGTGCCTTCTGCTTTAATATATCACAGGAAGTTGCTCACTGAAGTCTAACTTGAGAAGGATCTCATCAAACCTGGAAATGAGGTGCCAAGGCCACCAGTATTAGACTGGGAGTTGCTCCCTGCCACCAGTCTTAGACTGGAAACACTCTGTGCTGTGATATATCATGACATAACAAACACCCATGAAGCAGATCAGCTAAGACACTATTGGGACTGTCATCCCCAGGGTCAGTTCCCTGGGCTTCAGGGCCCTGACCCTGGGAGAAAAAGTTCCTGGGTGTCCTGCCCCAAGTTGAAGTACATGTTTATAAGTGAGGAAACCTCTGCTTGTAGACACCCCTATGTCAGGACATGGGGAATCCCACAGCATGGGATTAAAGCATAGAGTGGGGAGCTCCCCTAGGAGTTCCCTGCTCCCCTTGAAGTGGCAAATGGAGGGAGAATTGCTTAGGGGAGCTTCCCCTCCTCCACGCTTGGACTTGTCCTAAGGGAATGATCGTCCTGCTGTGGTGTGCAAGTGGAAGAGGGAGCCTTTTGCACATCCAGCTATGCACTAGGAGAATTATTCCCCTGGTGCAGACTGGGGAGCTGCCCTAGGGTACCCTCCCTTTCCCTTGCACATGGTCCCTGACCCAGGGACGCAGGTAGAGGAACAGCAGCACAATAGGCATGCTGACACCAGCATCCTTTCCTCCATGCTCCCCTTGGGACAGGACACTGCGTGTAATCAGAGTGGGGAACTCCTGGGGTACACACACATAGTTTCATAGTTGGTAGGGTCGGAAGGGACCTGAGGAGATCATCTAGTCCGACCCCCTGCCGTGGCAGCGAAGAGTACTGGGGTCACATGACCCTGGCCAGATGTTCATCCAGCCTCCTTTTAAAGAACACCAGGGTAGGAGCCAGCACCACTTCTTTTGGAAGTTGGTTCCAGGTCCTAGCTGCCCTGACAATGAAATAGCGCTTCCGAATGTCTAGCCTGAAACTACTCTCGGCTAGCTTGTGTCTGTTGTATCTTGTAACTCC